TCAGACATGGGCATGGTTGACGGAGGGATTCTCACGCCCCTCGAGTCATTCATCTACAACCTCATCGCCCTCTCCCTGAGCCTTCTAGCCATCATGTCCCACCAGCCGTACCTCCTCATCATCCTCTGCGTCGCCGCCGTGCTCTTCGTCTACTTCTTCCGCATCTACGTGCCCATTTCACGCTGCCTCCGCCGCATGGAGATGATGTTCCTCACGCCCATCATCTCCAACATCGGCGTTATGCAGGACGGCCTCGTGACCATCCGAGCCCTGAAGGCCGAGTCGCACTTCCAGGACCGCCACCTGAGCGCCGTGGACGACTTCCAGAAGCAGGACCACTTCTTCTGGAGCATGGCCTTCTGGCTCGACTTCCGCCTCAGCATGTCCTCGGCCTGCGTGCGCGCGGCCCTCGTCCTCTTCATGGTCTGGTCCAGGACGCCCGCCAGCGCCATCGGCTTCGTCCTCACCCAGACTACCATCGCCATGATGGCCGTCCAACAGCTCTGCGAGAAGTTTGCGCAGCTCCAGCTCGACGCCGTCTCGCTCGAGCGCATCGACATGCTCAACAGGATCCCCGAGGAAGCCAGCGGCGGGGACGAGCCTCCGGACGACTGGCCAAAGCCCTCCGACGACGTCACCTTCACCGACATGTCCTTCCGGTACGCGGACCACCTCCCCTCCGTCCTGCGCAGCGTGTCCTTCGAGATCCCAGGAGGCTCGACCTGCGCCGTGCTGGGCCGCACGGGCTCCGGCAAGTCCACAATCGCCAACGCCCTCCTCGCGACCGAGCTGCCATGCCACGGCACCGTCAAGATCGGCGCCGTCGACCTGTCCGAGGTGTCGCGCGCCGCCCTCCGCAACCGCGTCACCTTCGTCCAACAGGACCCGATCCTGTTCCCGGGGACCCTACGCGACAACATCGACCCGGAGGGCAGGTTCTCGACCGAGGAGTGCCAGAACGCCATCCGCCGCGTCCTGGGCGCTGGCTGGGGCCTCGAGACGCACATCGACGCGGCGGGGAAGAACCTGAGCCAGGGACAGCGGCAGCTGGTCAGCATCGGCAGGGCGGTGCTGCGCCGGAGCGGGCTGGTGATCCTGGACGAGGCGACGGCGTCGATCGACCGGAAGACGGCGGCCACTGTGCAGAGAATTCTCAGGGAGGATTTGTCAGGGAGCACTGTTATCACCATTGCTCACCGGCTGGAGGCGGTGGAGGATGCGAACTGGTGTCTGAGGCTGGATCATGGGGAGGTGGTTGAGTGTGGTCCGGCGAATGGCTCTGATTTGAGGGTGAAAACTGCACCAACTACACCAAATTAAACATTTCGGACTTGAAAAAAAAAGCCCGAGCTGAAAGAGTATCTAAAAGGTTGTTGGATGAGTGTTGAACATTTGATTTAGTTCGGTTACATCTAAGCAGGCATATGTTGAAGTGTCTCATATCTCGTTCATTTGGTGCAGCATTGCATAAGAGGCCTTCTTTTTCCAAATATAGATTACTTGGAATAGTATACGTGTCGAAAAATAAACTCGTCATTACATCTATTACACTCTGGGCCATAGTTCTTCTGTAAGTCTGGATATCTACCCGATCCCACCACAGCACACTTGTAGCAACTTCATCGTTTCGGATGTTCCAAAAAGGTAAAAGCAAGCGAGGTCGACGGGTCTTCCCATAAATTGATGGTCGGAATCAAACGGGATGTAACTGGTGCTCTTAGTGATACAGTCGTCTGTTACAGCTGATGCGTATTTCTCCTACTAGAGGCACAGCAGCAGTTCAGTCATACCATCAGTGAAACACCCGATATGCATAAAGAATGCTGACCCATAATGGAACAGTGACAGCTAAACGGAACAAATGATTGCCCACTCCCTGAGAATTAAGTAGGGCAATTAGGGGAGGGCGTGCTGATGAGTCACAGCGCCAACGCTGATTTTGGCCGTCAACTGCCTATAAATCGTGTGACAGATTGTTAGTTGCCGGACAGGGCTATATTGGTTTAATTATGCGGGTAAGAACATCAGGGGATTTCAAGAATCTAGCATGTGTTTGACTGTTCTGTGACGTCCCTATTCGAAGGCGGCAGCGTTTCACTAACGACGGCTTCAATACCCGAGAGTGAAATAACTCGGGCTGAAACTTTCGTGAACTCCATTGAAGGCAACCAATTTTTGATCCTGAAGGAAGAGTAGTTCTTCGTAAAAAAGCCCTCCCTCTCCTCCAACAATCAAACCTATCCACATCGTAATCGCTGACGATCAAGTCCAAGGGATTATCTGCCTGTGGGTGACCAAATCCCGTGAATCACGCCTTCACCGGACGCTCTAGACAATACCAATAGATGATTGCTTTCTGTTGCCTAGTTGCTTCCGCGTATACCACCAGCGCGGTGCCTCGCCAGTGTTCCGTGTACACACATTTGCACGTCATGTTTGTGTGTGATATCGTTTTAATCTGTTTCCCGACCTTTATTTCTTGTCCTGGTCTTATCATCACTGCATGATATCGCAGTGATTGCCCTGTAACTTCTTCAAATGCGATGTTCTGTGACTGATGGGCTTTAGGCAGCAACCTGGGCCATCCGCCCTTCACGGTCAACTCTGCAGTCGGTCAGCCATGAACAGACAATCAGACAAATATATAAGTAATCCTCCCGACCCAGGGCAAATGTTTGACCTTTCGTCCTAAGAACCTGGGCGCCTCCCATCAAGCAACTGGAAAGACTAAATCTTCAAACAGGAAACAAGCCAGCACCAGAACATCTACAACACTTACACATATTACCACCAAGCCGGAGACTAGCATCAAGTCCCTTCTAGTGACCATGTGCCAGCCTGTTGCCTACACATACCCCGCTTGTGGGCACCTCGTTGCACCCCTGGCAAGTATTTGGACGTTGGAACGCTGCATCCGGGCGTGGAACCAGGGTAAGGATTGCTGGATACCCCAGGACTGCCCGTCCCGACATATCGTCAGGAAACCGTGGAAAGGCGCCCCTCTAGATCCCTGCCCAGTCTGTGAAGAGAGACGGCGTCATATGGGCAACGAGAATCTGGCACCGCTCATGACTACTACATCCAACTTTTCACAAAGGTCACGACGGGATAAGACACGCTGAGGATGGATTCGTTCGGGTAAGTCGCGGTCGTCAAGTCGCTCGAAAGTGTTAAACAGATCAAATCAAGGTTAGGAACATCACCAAAACAACACCGGTTGGGGAACGGAGAAATATTTCCTTGGCAAATATATAGTCAGATGGGCCCACCGAGGGCCTCGTCGAGTACTTCAATCCTAGGGGATGCCATAGGGCTACCTTCTCGCCCGCGAGATCGAATGCTCCGATTTGCATCTGGAATTGCTCAACCGAACACCTTGTCCAGGATCTTCTCAAAGAAGTTGCTTTCTCGAAGTTAGCAAACACGTGCTAAAAGGTAGGGGGATGGGGGTTACATACCTGGGCGGAATTGGGACATAGTTTCTCTCATATTCAGCGAGAACATCCTGGTCCCGGTTCAGGTCTATCTCTGACGCCTTGTGGAACTTGGTCTTGTGGATGATCTTCCAGCCGATGAAGAGAACGGGGCACACCATGATCATCATGTACCTAGGTCAAGTCAATATAAAAACTTGCCCGAAGATGGCACAGCTGAATAACCAAATGCAAACGTGAGGACTTACGAGAATAAGAAATCAGTGACCTTCCACATCCCCTCAATGGGCAAGAACACCGTGTATCCACCGACGAACATCATCACAAAGGTTCCGACAAGGGCATACCAAGCGGCATAGGGCTGGAACCACGCCTTGTACGGCAAGCTGTCTCGGCTCACTCCCTGCGCCTTGAGCGCCCTGTAGAAGCAGAGGTAGGCCACGCAGGTGACACAGAAGTTCATGAGCTGCGACGCCGTGACCAAGGACACGAACCAGCTCAGCACCACCGCCGAGCTCTCCGACAGCTGCAGGAAGGACAGGAGGCCGATCAGCAGGACGACTACGACACAGTAGATGGGAACGCCGGCTTTGGTGCAGGTGGTCAGGAACCTGGGTGCCTTGCCCTCGAGGGCGAGACCGTAAAGGGATCGCGAAGCGCAGTAGACGTATGAGTTGCCGGCGGAGCAGGCAGAGGTGAGAACCAAGGCGTTGACGATGTGGGGGAAGACGCTAATGTTGAGCCTCTCCATGGCGACGACGTAAGGGGAGGCAGCGGCACCTGGTTTGCCCTCCTTGAAGGCTGCAATTAGTTCCGGGGAATCATACGGCACAAGAATTCCAACGCAGAGTGCGCCAAGGATGAAGCTTTCCACCAACATGTTAGACTGCATTCTTTCACTCATCAACATCCATCACTGGGAATGAGATCTTACAAGATAGTGAGACGGTAGAAGACGGAGTTGAAGGCACGGGGCATGACCTTTCGCGGGTTCTCGGCTTCACCAGCAGCCATGGAGACATAATCGGGACCGGCGATGGTGAAGGAAGCCTGGATAAGGCACTGCAAGAAACCCAGCCACCTACCCAGAGTCCCTTCATAATACAACTCGGTGAAAGCACCAGGAGAGTACCAGTACCGGAACCCGAACCGGTCCTTGTTGGGGTTTCCGCCCAGCATGACAATAAAGGTGAACAGGATGAGCGCAACGATAAGGATGACCTTCCCCAGGGCGGCCCAGAACTCGGACTCCCCGTACCATTTCACAGCGAGCACGTTGATGAGGGCGTACAAGACGAGGATAATGGCAACAATAGCACCGACGGGGACAGCGTCACTCCAGAAGTTGATGATGAGGTTGCAGGCGACGATCTCGAAGGGGACCATGGCCGCCTCAAAGACAAAGAAGTTCCAGCCGGCGGCGAACCCAAAGGCCTCATCGACGTACCGGCCGGCAAAGCGGATGAACGGGGAGGAGATGGGCGTGTATGTCACCATTTCAGCCATGCACAGCGTGACGCAGAGAATGAAGGTACACCAGATAGCTAGTCACATGGGAGTCAATGTCTATGCGCTCACGTCACGGAGTGGGAGGAGATATCTGGTCAGATATAGCACGGCGTTGTCAGACTCACCAAAAGCCAGCAGGAGAGAGGCAGGGCCGCCATTCAGGAGCCCCTTGCCGATTTGCACCTATTCGCAGTCGAGCTTATGAGCACTTCACGTCCAGAGAAGAGAGGTGGTGAGAGGGGATTGGCCGCTCGCACATCATGGCATTCACTCGGCATGCAATTCGGCGAGGTCCGTTTTGATTTCTTACATAGAGGGCAGTTCCAATGGTACCACCGATACCAATGAGCTGGATATGCCGAGACTTGAGCTTGCGGTGGGTGTGGTCCCTCTTCTCGAAGTCATTATCGTCTGAAATATTGCCGGCCAGGAAACTCGTCCCCTTTGCATTGGCGGCCTTTTCCTGGTCAGAGTTGTAGGCAGGCGGAGCAGCCTGGCTGGCTGACAGACGGCCCATTGTCAAGTTGGTGTAGACGAATGAGCAGATGAGACGTCAACGAAAGGCAACGTGAGCTTACCCTCAAAAGCGAGCCTCGAGAGGAAATCAAGGTAGTCAGCGCAGGAGAGGGAATGTGGTTGGCAGTGCTCCTAATGTGAGGGCATTCACAAAGATGGATCTTGAAGGAGATTCTAGACCTCAACACCACACCAAATAAGCAGCAACTGTGTGAAAATCTTCAAACTCCACAGAGATGAATCAAGAGTAGGCAAGGCACAGGAATGCAAAGCGGGAGGGTACAAGGTATCTTTATTTGAGAGAAACCCAAACCGGCCGATAACCGATCTTACGGCAGCACATGGGACTGGCACGGCACAATCGAGAGAGAGGCAATAGCGTTACGTTATGGACCTGCTCAGGAACAAGCTCTCTCTATCAGAGGCAAGCAATCGAGGACCAGGCTGTACGTACGTAGCAGTAATGAGGACCCATTGGACGATATGGGGCCACAATCTCAACTAGAGACGTCGGTTGCAGCCAGGGCCCCGGTGCAATGGATGGATGGACGCATCCGGCATCCTGCTTTTCCCTCAAAAAGAGGCCCAGGCCCAGGCCGAGACGGAGGCTGGCGAGAGCCAGAGAAAGCATGGGCCAGACGAATGCGGTGCGATCTGACCGCAGTTTGCTACCGCCTCTTGATAGGCAGAGTCTCCCCTCCCGCACCAAAAGCTATGGAGAAGGTGGTCCCCCCGTTATGCATATTTGCAAAGAAGCATCGTCGAATGGCGGGCACCAAACGCCTCGTCCTGTCTCATATGCGCATAGTCCCAATTAGTGCCTCGTAACCTCGGTCCTTTGTGTCTACAGAGCCCACAAATCGAAAACAAATAAAAGTAAGAATCGAGAGAAAAATCAAGACACGCCATGTCTGGCTCATCTCCACAGGTACTTTTGTGCGCCGAAGGAAGTACCAGGCCTTAAGCGGATGGGCCACACAGCATCAGGTACACCAATACCTGGATCCAAGTACTCCCAGTCCCCACCCTCTCTTGAGGCCTCTTGCTCTGGCTTCTACAAGCCATTGGATCCTCCCGCAGCGATAAAGAGACCGGGCAAGGGACCCGGCATACTGCACGCAACTGCACGTCAGCCAGGGAGAGCACGATAAACAACCAGAAAGCAAGGTTATTCCGCCTCTCGGTCCCGTCTCACATGACGCTGGGCAGCAGCGCAAACTTCCCCAGCTCGGCCGTTCCCTTGAATCGGGACTAGCGCAGCGCACCATCCCAGCGCTCAGGGCATCCCAGCCACTAACAATGCGCTGCTGGGCGTGGGGACCTCCCTGTAAATGGGGTCAATGGGGGATTCAGAGGTGAGGGGAAATGCCCAGGCGCTGGTGCTGGCACTACCTAGTACTGCCAGTGAGTGATGCGCCGCGACTTTCTCTCCGGCTTGGCCACCACTGACAAGCGACGACCCGTCCTGCTACGACCCTTCTTCCATCCTGCTTCCATGTGGTTTCTCCAACGGACCAAATATATGCAGAACCCTGGGCCTGAGAGGTAGCCCGCCAAGAGACCTCGCACATGGTCCTCCCAGCCGCATAGCCGGGGTACTAAGACCGAGACACACAACACACACAACAGACGTTATCACCAAGGACCAACGATCAGCTCTCCCAATTAATGATCCTTAGCAGGGTCTCGCTGCCCCGTCCAATCACAGGTTTATCAAGTCGAACCACCCGCCTCCCCAGGTGTTCTACTATGACAGTGTATGCAACACACACAGCTCATCGACAGGGTTAGCCCAACAAGCATGCAGACACCAGGCCTACTTCACACAACCCAATGAATCCCTCCTCGGGCTATTTCTCTCTAGCCCGCCGCAACGGTCCTAGTGTTGTCTAGACCCGTGGAATACGGCTGCCTAGAGGCTGAACGGGAATCAAAAACACCTTCCATTTCCAACCAGTCCAATCACCATCATTTGTCTCTGTCCCCCACACACAACCGGGGCGTTTGACCTGCATGGCCACATATGCAGAGGGTGTCAGTTTGGTGCTTGTGCTACGTCAATCTTTCGGACTCACCGATGGATGGGAACACCACCCATGCCTATCCAGCCAACCTCAGCTATCTACTCAGAGACCTTTCAGCATGATATGCTGATGCAGACTACCGAAGCCCTGTCTCAACCTCGCTTACGACAAGAGGCAGGGTGGTAGCGGCTTGACGTTGCATGTCACGGGATGGTTACGCGAACTTGAAGCTGGACATTCTGGATTTGTTGGGGGGTATTCGTTCTAACACATAATAGGTACAAACAGATGTCTGCTAACATGAGAAATCTTGCATAATCCTCCGTATGTTCTGAGATATCACAATTAAGCACTCCGCTCTTCGCTTCAGAAAAAAGAAAGGCCAAATAAATCATACCAGTCAGGGAACAAAAGGAAAGAGTCCGATAAAATAAAACACATTTGCTCAGTGTGACGGCTGTCAACCCTTAGAGGACCCTATCCCTATCAACCAAGGAGAGGGCAGGCCTGTTGTGGACAGCCTCCACGTCCTCTGCATCTCTTACCTCCTCTTTCAATAAGTCATGAACAAATGATTCATGGCATCGTCTCGGTTATCATCCTGAAAAGAAACTGGGAAAAAAGAAGAAAGCGCATCAAGAGCCTTGCCTCCCATCGCCAGCGCTTCTTACAACTCGTCCTTGTCGTGCTGCACCTTGGCTCTGATGGCCTCGGTGGCCTGACTGGCGGCACTGCCAATATTTGACGTGGCAGTGGCGTAGGCAGCTTGAAGCTTAGACAGGACACTTTGCTGGAACGTATCGTCTTTTCCAACCAGGAGCTCCGATACGATATCCGTAACAGCAGCATACTGCTTAGATGCCGTAGCAGATGGGTCCTCGGATCCTGCCGTAACTCTTGACACGGCCGAACTGGCCTCGTTGAGGAAATTTTCATACCAGCCAATTTGCTTTTGTTCTCCGTAAACTTGTCCTTCTAGAGTTTGGAGGACCGTGTCCCAGGTCTCCGCCAAGGCGGCGCCCGCCAAGTACACCTGTTCGCTTGCCGCGTCAATGGCAGAATCGATAGAATCGTCGACGGCCTTGATAGCGGATGCAACGTTGTCCGCCGCGGCGGAATAGGCAGAGCCAGCTGCATCCTCAGCCGCCTGGATCACGGAAGCGGCTGACTCTGTGGCGATCGAGGCAACCGATGAAAGGGTGCCTGCAAAGTCAGTTGGCGTTGGTGTCGCTGTAAGGGACGACATGGCAGAAGAGGCAGCGGAAAGGAAACTTGAATATCGGTCTTGTGCAAGACCAAGGCCCGCGTAATAGTTCATCTTAGCCTGGCTATACAACTTCTCGGCGTTTGATGTCGGCGTAGGTGTCGGAGTGGCAAGGCCAAGAGCAATGACAGCACTCTGATACTGGATCTCTGCCCACACGCGACCCTCGTTGAGGCGCTGCGCGGCGATAGACTCTACCTTCTTTTGCCAATCCAGAATGGATGTTGGCTTTGGTTCCTCGGTAGTGGTCCTTTGAATTCCAGCAGAAGCAGCCGATACCACTGCGTCAAACTGAGAGCTGGCTGCTGCAACAGCATTGTCATAGGCTGCGGAGACGGAAGAAAAGAGCTGATTGTGGACTGGCTTGGGAGTTCCGTAGATTTGAGCCGAGATGATGGATGCAGCCGTAGCGTACTGGTCAGATGCCGCAGACACAGCTTTAGCATAGGCGTCCTCTGCAGCGCTTGTCAGGTCGGCCAATAGATCACCCTCCTCCTCTTCCTCGTTAGAGCTCTCGTCTTCAGATTCGTCTGTCTCCTCTACCTGCTCATAAAGAGCTGCATAAACATCATCAGTCTCATCATCCTCGTAGTCTTCAAGGATGGGCTGACGGTTGCGGACGGCCTGAGCCATTGCTCCGAACATGGCTGGCTTAGCTGATGGAGTCTCGTACGCCTTGTGAGAATCTGCTTGTGAGCCAACATCTTCATCAATGTCTTCAGCACGCTTTGGAGGCTCAGGAGCCTTGGAGTCCTCTGAACCGTCTGCGCCGTCCGAACCATTCGCAACAATGAGGGTCGTTCCTGATAATAAAACTTCAGAGGCCTCGGACAGGAGGCTGCTCACGGTAGAGGACTCCTCGGCTTCCTTGGTCTCATCAGCAGATTCTGAGACTTCAGTCGCGCTCTCAGCTTCATCTGGGACAGTAGAGGAAATATCTTCAGCTTTCCCAGCTTCCTCTTCGTCACTCTCATCCCCAGAAGTGGGGAGAGAGGAGCCGGTGCTATCTTCAGAATTGTCCTGAGCTTCATCAAAATCAGCACTAGAAGGTGTCTCGGGTTGGGATGCAGGCTCCTCACCAGCCTCAGCGGCACGAGCGGCACGTTCTTCCTCCTCCCTGGCTTCTGCGGCAGCTCGTTCAGCCTGTTTCTTCGCCTCTTCCTCTGCCTCCTCTGCTGCTTTGACCGCTGCCAGTCTAGCCTCCTCGGCAGCGACGGCGGCGGCCTCAACAGCCTCAGCAGCAAGCTTCATCTCCTCCAGACTGAAGTTGTCCGACGAGTCCTGCGCCAAAACCTTCCAATGGGTGACTTCCTTAAGACGCCCCAGTTCTTTGGCAGCATTAGAAGCAATCTCCATGGATTCGTCCTCGACCTGAGCTGAGGCCTCTTGAGCCGCCAGGAGGGCAGGGTGGGTAACGATGAGCTGCTTGAGCTGGTCGGTCCACGCGCTAAATGTTGTCTTGAGCTCATGGTACTTTTGCCAGTCTTTGTATGTCACACCATCCGTCCAAGCCCACTTCATGCCAATCTGTTGCAAGGCTAGGCCTCTTGTCTCGTCAAGTAATTTGAAGTGAGCATCAGCAGCGTTGACGACGGTGTTCTGCAAGTCAATATCATACTTCTTGCGCCACTCGCGGATTGCTTGCGCCTTTTGCTTGATAGCAGCGCCGGCATTCCGGACTGCCTTGACTGCCTCCTCTTCGGGATCTTTGAGGCCCGTCGTGCTCTGCTTAACGAGGGCCGAGATCTTTTGTTTGAGTGTCTTGACCTCGGACTCGACAGTAGCCTCCAGGCGTTCCATCAAACTTGTTCCGGTCTTCTTGACCTCGGCTTCGATCATCTGCTTGGCAATCTCGTCGACACGCTCTTCCATATCATTGGCGCCTTCATCAGCAAGCGTGGCAAACCGATTCTGCCATTGCTCGAGATCCTGTGCCACCATCTCGCGTGCCTTCTTGCGCTTGTCGTTCTCGTTCTCTGCAGGGGCTGGTGCTTGGACTGGCTGCGCATAGGCCTCCTTGCTCTCGACTCGGGGGGTTTCGGACGCCGTCGCTTCAACGGTCGCGGCGCTGGTAGCCTGGACAGTGGGTTTGCTAAATGCCGAAGTTGTCGTGATGCTATATACATCTCATTGTTAGCCCCTATCGGCAAAAAGTAGGACTCAACCCTCTGTACTAACCTCTCGAAGTCGGGGAGCCTCTCGACCTGGGACTTGACCCGAGTTCCATAACGTCCGAGGCGCTCCCCAATACGGACAAGCTGGGGCTCAACATTCTCTACGTAGATGACCCGAAGATGCGGCCAGATTGCGGTATCAAGGAAGGAGCTAGTCTTCCCCCAAGCCCAGGAGGCAGTTGGCAGGGCGGTATCAGCCGCGAACTTGGACGTAGTGCGGTATGCATCGATAGCGTATGGCTGGACAAAGGTGTAGCCGGGGAGAAGGTACTCGTAGTAGACTTGATAAGCCTCGGTTTGGGCGGCATCGACGTATGGGCCCAGCACATCATTGGCCTGCGTGATGTATGGGCCGACCTTGTCGTCGTACTTGTCGCGCACAAGTCCTTGGATCTTCTGAAGCTGCACCTGCCCGTTCTTCTCCCACTGGGCCAGGCCAAATTCTTGTGCCTTTTCTACGTATGGTGTTCCGTACTGAACAGCATACTTGTGTGCCGGGACGAGAACTTTTTGATTGAGTGTGTCGTAATAGGGCTGCGCAACATCAACGTAGGGCGCAGCGTACTCGTCGTAGTAAGGCTGGACGTAGGGAGCCACGAAGGTCTTGGTCTTGAAGTAATATTGGCAGATGAACGGGGATGTATCGTCGCAAGCCTCGAGGGAAGGAGGACAACGGAAGAGAACAGTGAGAATGCTGAACCACGTCGCGAGCCTGGAGAAAAACAAATGTTAGTCAATCGTGACGTCTTCCTTGTGAGCCGGTCAGTAGAAGTAGTAATTTGGCATGACGAACCAGGCGACTTGATTGAACAACCACGACAAAAAGCCCCGTCGCTTCACGACACCTCGTCTCTTACCAGCAGCCGCCGGTTTGCCCGCGGGCTTGGCCTTGCCGTTGGTGAAGCCGTTGGCAGCTTTGAGCGCTCCATTGGATTCCGCCATGGCGGGCGACTATCACGCACGCTTTGCGTCTGGCTCAGTTGGATGTAAGATAGAGAGGCAAGAAGGCTGTCAGCTGCATAGGACCTCGGCGAATGTCGAGCGACGTGATTCACAGCAAAACACTGAACCGAGTGTTGCTTGACTAGCAAAAGCAAAAGCTCGTGCACGACACGAGACGAAACGAGACGGGAAGCTTGGTCTCAATCGATGCAAATGTGGAGAATGATTTTGGCTTGTCCCATGCGACAGACGCTCATTTGTCAAGCTGGCTGCAAGCTGTCAACAATCGATACCTTGTAAAATGCAGGTGATTTAGTGGGTGCAGGAGCCTGTCAAGCGGCTGCCACGGACCAAAACAGGCATTGGCACTATATATGGACTTACCAGGATCACATGAATCAGTACACGACCGACTGCTTGCAAGATGGATGAGATGGGAGAAACTCAGCCAAGAACCGTGCCGGAGCGACAGGGACAGAGATTGATTTTACTTTGATCTCAGCTTCACGCTCAGGGGCCAGATTGGCAGGATCCAAGGCAGGCTGCGGGCTCCCACCACCCATCTGGGTCCGTCTATTACGTCGCCCAAGTAGGTTCTGACGTAGGAAAACCCGAGGATCACAGGCACCGTCACGTCATCACGAGGCAGCACATCCTGCCAGTCACCACCAGACAAGCCTGCTCGAATCTGCACGGGGATGCGCGAGGGTGGAGATGGATCACCGACACTGAAGCACAAGCCTGATTCCAGATGCAACATGCCTAGCCTTTGCACATGTTATTTTGTTGATTTATCTCGTTGGTGAGGGGCAGGTTTGATCAAGCTTGTCGGATCCGACGCCTGCTTCAAGTGCGCTACTGCTGCCATGTTTCTTCATCAAAGCCTTCTGCCGCATTCTTCAGCACAGTTTCTTGATTTGCTCAAGGACAGCAAAAGAAAACCTCCAGTGTCTGTATCTACCGGGTATACGTCTCTCACCCATATCTTCCTCAACAGTATGCGCAATGTCGTCAAGTGTCTGTTATCAAAAGACTAGTCCCTGCTTAGATTCATTCTGTAGAGAGGACCATCGCTTAGCCATGTACTTAACTGAGGCGGCCTCCCACTCTTAGTATAAGCAACCATGCATCGCATCTCCATCTGTAACCACGCAGTGGAGTTTCCTGGTTAGAATAAAGCAAGCCATGATGAAGGGGCATGAGTGGCCGGATGGTCGTCTATCTCCAGAAAAGCTTGCTGGTGCTTCCACCTGCCTTTCCTACTAGCAGCAAAACCATGCGAACTAGCGTTCCTACCTTATCTTAGTTCACAGTCCATGTTCATCAGCTACTACTATTAAGTTGAACTCGTCGTGGTTGATAGCGGTGGGGAAGATCGAGTCCGAGACCACACCGCATCAGTTCCAGGACACAGTCGCTCTACGAAATACGGCACCTAACCACCCAGCATTGAGTTTTGGGGGTTTCTCGGCATTTAACCTCCATCACTGTTGATTTATCCAGCGTCTTCCGACCCAAGGACACTCTCAGCTGACTCACGTGCCTTTTCGAGACATGTCCATCCTGAAGGTAACTCAACTCAGGTACCCAGACGTGCAAATACCAGTGTAAATCAGACTACCACCCCAGATACGTAGGTACATTAGCACCTCAACATGTAGTGGCACCCTAGAGCATACAGCTGCAGGCATGGTTGATGAGATGCGGATTTCAATGAAGTAGGGCTCAAACACAATGCGACAAGAAGTAGGCACCAGAATCAAGTACGTCTTCATACCAACAGATTACATATCGAGGGAAAAACCAGAGTGTTGGTTGGCATGACCCTGCATCAGGCTCGCATCACGCAAACCACGCTTTAGCCTCTTTCGGCCAGATTGAGCACTTGGTTGGGGCAAGCACACCAAATTCCAAGTTCCGCACGCCAACAGACGCTTACCTTAGTACACCCACGGCAATGGTACAAGGGTGCAAGAGCCACCGACACCCAAATTGTCCATCCAACGTCAACGGCTGGGGAAGTCCCAAGGCAACACTTGTTCCATCAAGCGCCTACTTCGGCCACTTTCCATCCATCGCCATAAACCCGTTGTTGTTCTAGAGGCGCCTGTGCTTCCGAATGCTATGACCACTGCCAGGCGCTCTCTCTCTGCTTGCGTCTTTGCAAACCCTTGCCCGGGATCCCGGTCCATTTCTGTTCGTTCTCTCCACGCCGCCTTGACTTGCGGTGGGCATCGTCCATGCCATCCCACCCCTCCATCCAAGACGACATCCAGCTAACAGCAGCAACAATCTTAGTACCCGGCGCTCTCTGACTGTCCACCCTTTCTCGAACAACCACGCCGTCTATCCCATTCATCTCCCCCTCCTTGAAAGTCGTCCGTCTGCGTGCAACCGCCCTGTGGCGGGCGAGGTCGCCCCGTCGCGAATCCGACCCATTTCGTCTGCGGTCAGGTCAACCACCTATTACGAGACGCACAAGCTCATCATGGCCGACTGGCAAGGGGCACCTCCCTATGGGGGCCCTCGTGTTTCTCTCAGAAATCCAACCCAAAGGCATGTCCGACGACCGACACACGCCGAAGACTCGGCACCCGGCATTTGTCGAATATGTCGTGGTGAAGGCACCCCCGAAGAACCGCTCTTCCATCCATGCAAATGCAGCGGTAGTATCCAGCATGTTCATCAGGACTGTTTGATGGAATGGCTATCGCACTCGCAAAAGAAATACTGCGAGCTGTGCAAGACCTCTTTTCGCTTCACCAAGTTTTACAACCCCAGCATGCCCGCCTCGCTGCCCGTCTCCGTCTTCTTCCAACAACTAATCCGATACGTCATCCAAAACTTCCTAGGATGGTTCCGTGTCATCATAGCCATCAGCTTTTGGGTGAGCTGGCTTCCATGGTTTATGCGACGAGGTTGGGCGTCGCTCTTCTGGATCAGCCAGGAGAGTTGGGGGAGCACCCAAGGTCAGTTTTCCGGGTCCTCGGGGGCCATCATCGAGCTTTCGTCAACACTCCTTGGGGTGGATGTGTGTCCGGCTAGTCCCTTATTCGCTCCCACAACAACTTCCGCCGAGTCGGTCAAGACGATGCTCAGCTGGTGGGAGAGCCAGCCCGTGACCATATACCTCATGCGTTTCCTCCTTGGAATCTTTGGTCTGCCTGTTCCGCCTCCTCCGGTGCCTCGCGCTGTGGCTGCGCAATACACAACCCAAGAACCCCAGGTGTCCCAGTCATTACTTGGAAATGTGCGCTTCCTACGACGACTTACCCGAAGCACCGCCGTGAACCAGACCATCATATCAGTCTTTGAAGGTCAAATAATTACCATCATCGTCATGATCAGTTTTATTCTCGTAATATTAGTGAGAGACTATGTGGTACAGCAGCAGCCTGAATTAAATATGCGAGCCGGATTTGACGAAGTAGAAGAAGTTCCCATCAGGCAACCAATTCGGGTAGAACAGGCTCATCAGGTGGAATCGGAGAATGAATCAGACGAATCAGGCGATGGACGGCCAGCTGATGATACTCCCCATGCGGAGACCATGTATCGCGAGCCCAGCGATTCCGCGCCTCAAATGAGCCCATCTGACGAAGAATATAGCGAGAATGTCTCTGACTTGAATCCTCTAGTATCAGGGCATGATCATGATCTATTTGCGGACTCTGATAGCAGCTCATACGGCAGACACAATGGCCATCTCCAAATAGATACTCCTGGATCTTCAACCGAAACTTACCCAACACCTGTCAGGGCATTCGCATCCCTCCAACAGCCCGATGGCAATGGGTCGTCCCAAGATGTTGACTTTAATCCCATGGCTAACGATTGGTTCCGTGTTGCACCCGAAGAAAACAGTCCCCCAGTGGAGTCCACTAAAGGAAAGGAAAGGCTTCACGAATTCGGCCACGGCGATATCCCACCTTTTCTATTATCGCAAAGTTCCGAGCCAGATGCTGGCCCTTCTCGCCCTAGAGCTTTGTCAGACGGCCCTCAAATGCAGTCTGGCATCAACCCTCTAGCCAATAATACGTGGTCCCTGGCTCACCTTCCGTCTGATGATGGTGTCAATGGGACATTTGATCCTGGGTTTCGCCCGCCCCCGGTGCAGTCATCTTCTTCACACCAGTCAGATGCTGGGGCAGAATGGCGCAATTGGCAAGGAATGGGCTTCCAAGAATCAGAAACTGATCGTGGTCACACCGGTATCCGTGATCAACTCGAAGCCGACGAAGAAGTATACCAGCCACCCTTAGAAGGCCGTATTATTCGTATCCCCTCCCCCCCTCCTTCAGAGCCTGCCTCCATCGCCCCCACACAGCCTCCTTGGTCATCAACCCCGGCATCACCTGTACCTGAGGATTCATCGTTCAGCCTTTACCACTACATTTCCGATGCAGTGCTGGGATTCATGTGGGGTGGGTTGGGCGAGAATGAAGATTCAGACTCAGACTCCGACGAGGAGGCAAATCCTACAGACGAGAACAACGCCGATGCTAATGTAGCTGCTGCTGCCGCGGCTGCGGCCGCTGTTGGGGATGATGACGAATGGGAAGATGAACCTGTTCGCCGTGCACCAGGCAATGGGGCAAATAATGCAGACGCACCAAACGGCAGGCCTGGGGAAGCCGTGGCTAACCCTGTGAATCCCGAGGCTGCTGGAGTCGCAGGCATGGAGCCCGAGGCTATTGAAGACATGGAGGACTTTGAAGGGATCATGGAACTGCTCGGCATGCGAGGTCCTATCACCAATCTTTTTCAAAACGTCATATTCTGCGCCGTCCTCGTCCAGGCAGCTCTTTTCTTGTGCGTCTTCACGCCCTTCAATGTCGGACGTATCTCAATCTGGGTTCTTGCAAAGCCTTCGCGGCTTATCCGAGTCATATTCGAGTTCTCAAAGTTCATGCAGGATCTGCTATTTTTCTTTGCCGGGTTCACTTCCTGGGTACTCTTTAATACAGTCGACATGTTTGTTGCTGTGATTGGTGGTGCAG